GGAAGAACCATGGTGTGTACTCCATAGTTAGAATGGCTGAATTATAGGGAAGGGTTTTTCCTTAGAAGATGTTTTAAGGTTGAGGTGTGACAGTTTAGATTCCAAATATACTTGTGAGAGGAGAGTTGGGTCTGTTAGAACAGAAACACATTTACATTTAGAACTGAGAGTCTATATGAGGCTTGCTGATGATGTTATGTATTTGTGCTATAGGTTTGACATATACCATTTGTATAATAATTTCTTTTGATAAGCAGCACCTGAGCCAATAATTAACCTCTGTGTAATTATTTTGTAGTGATTCACATTCATTTCTATCCACACACATCTGTTTGGTTTGTGGGTGTAAGAAATGTGATGTTGATCTTTCTGCTGTTTGAGCACTCTTACAAACATTAATTGCACATATACTGCACTTCATGTGGAACTACTTCTCAGTGGTTTAGCTTCAACTAAGCATACTTCAGAATCTCAGCCTCACTGCCTTGACAACAGTATTGATCTTTTGTTAAATTTCTGAAACAGTATGCAATTTACATTTACATAATTTTGCATGAATGCCGCTGGCTTCAATTCTTGAATGACATACTGTAGATTTTGGTTATACCTGTTGGCTTCATTTTAGTTTTCTGATTTTCGGATTATGATTGCTGTTCTTTAACTGCTTGGTGAGGGTAGTATGAAACAATGTGATTCAAAGGGGTTCAGGACATACTGTAAGTTACAATGTGGCAATAAGGATTTCTGCATTTCCAGCTGAGTCTTACTTGGAAGGAAGGTCATATACCTACTTTAATTAACCCCCAGTAACAGATTCAGCAAAGAAAGATCCAGTAGGGACCTGCAGGAGCCAACTCAAGGAACATCCCTCTTTGACTGAAATATTCTCATCCTTTTATTGCTTGGATGCTAGCACTTTTTACAAATAATATCAAGAAATAGGATGGCATGTATACCTTGTTAAGAAGCAAATGGATTGTTAGTTTTCAAACAATGTTAACTGATGGCATTATCAACAACATTGGAGTATAAGGCCAGTGATCTTTCATCTAAATTTAAACTTAGTTAACACAGTGAGAGTTGTCCCCATCTTGGATCACAGGCTACCTAAATATAATGTAATAGTGTTACAAAAATAAGAAGTTAAAATGCAACAAAATCATGAATAGGCACGACAGCTACATTTTCTATGGTAATGTCATGGTCTCAGGCACTGCATTCCTACAAATCAAGCTATCATTATAAGAACATAACATAAGATGAGCCCTGCTGGATCACGCCAAGGGTCCATGTAGTCCAGCTTACTGTATCTCACAGTGGCCCCACTAAATGCCTCTGTCTCCTGATACCCCTCCCCTGCATCTGGCATTTTTAGGTACCTTCCTTCTAAGCCTGGAGATTATACATCCCCATCATGGCTTGTGGCCTGTGATGGACTTTTCCTCTAGTCCCCCTTCAAATACATCTACCTCATCCTGTGACAAGGAGTTCCACAGACTAACAACACACTGGGTAAAGAAATATTTTCTTTTTGTGGTTTCAGTCTCCCAACACTCCATTTGAGTGGATGTCTCCTGGTTCTGGTATTGTGTGAGAGGGAAAACAGCTTCCCTGTATCCACTTTATTCATCCCCTGCATAATTTTATAAAAGCTTGAAGTGACCAGCAGGAATCTGGGACTTGCCTTTTGGACAGACCAGTTTTCATTACCACAGCAGCATAATCCACAGAACCTCTTTCCACACTGAGGGAGGTAATGGACCAAAGGGCAAGACTACAGGGCTGCCTAATTTAACCATATTTTACTTTCTTAAAGCTCTTCTGACTGCCAGTCCCCTGTAGCTTCCAAAACAGAAAAATAAAATTATCCAAATAATTTAGTCCTCTCTATTTTGTTCTTGTCTTCATGTGGATAAGATAAAAACAGCAGTCCATAGGTTTTTGTATTTGTATAACATTTTCAACAGAAGCAGTCAAACTGGCAGTTTTCTCCTAGGTCATACTGTCCACTCAGACAGTGTTCTTTCTTTTGCTATCTTCTTCCAAATGGATTAAATACTTTCACTAAGGAAGTTTTGAGGTATTTTCTGAACCCATCAGAATTTCAATGTATTGAGGGCTGGCAGTAAGAGTAGGACCATGGGTGGATCAAGAGCAGGACTAAATTTATGTTTCCTGTATTCCCTGAACCTGCTGATAAATCTACTGCCTCTTCTAAATAGGTCAACTTACTGAGTGTACATCTGTTCTGCTTCTCAGCATCATGATTCACCAGAAAATGGTACAGGGCTCCCCCATCCCGCTCTGTACATTATATTAACAAAATAGCATTTCACTAGCAAAATGCAATAGATTTGGTACAGTACAATATATGAAAGCCATTTCTGCCTATTAAGAAAAACCAACTATAAATTGGACCAAATTATAGCAAGCAGCTGAAATTTGGAGATATTGTTTATACCTCTTGATGTGATAACGAAATAGGTTTACTTGTATATGATTCTGCAACAAAAGGTTCTAAAGGACTAAAATGTCCCATTTAAATGGAGAAGAATTGAGATGTTTTTAAGAATGTCCAATGAATAGAATGTACACAAAAATGTTGCAGCTTAATTTCTAAATAAAATGGCAGTGCATTGAAATAGGAATGCCTGCTTTTTAAATAAAAACAGTTCGGAGCATAAACCAGATGTTAAATATTTTAAATCCCCACTGATTTCAGGGGGAAGTTAATGATTAGATTAAATGGAACTCAGAATACTGGATTTTATTCCACTTGTGATATTTTTCATCTGTGCAAATCTTTGACCGTAGGCATTGGTAATTCTCAGAATTGCAACAATTACAAATGTGGTCTTTTCATTTTAAAAATTATCAGAATTGATGCATTATGTTTAATTATAAAAGTACCATTTTCCAATCAAGATCCCCAGCAGATGATATAAAAATTATTCAAATCAGGGATGTGAAAACATTTTAGTATCAATTTTGTTGCCTTTTTCTGAATCCCATCTACATTTTCTACCTAGGTTGCAACACATACATTGGGGTGGGAGGCTGCATGGAACTTCAGCCCTAATGTGTACATTTAGTTATATATTGATTATACACTGATTTATAGATCTTTTGTCATATATTTTAAATTATGCACATTTTACAAGTTCACATTTTAAAATGTGCATATTGTTTTGTGCACACTTTATATTCTAACATATTCCATAAACTTCATAAAATGTGCAAATTCTTGAGTTAAGGGGCTTTTCTTATTTAGCAAGTCTCAAGAGGTTTGAAAATATTTCTTTAATTAAGACTGTTCAGTGCAGCAAGTGAATGGAATGGATCACTATCAGTTGAATAGTATGTGACTCGGTTCTTTTAGGGGCCTGGTCGGTCCACCTGCTCTTGTTCCTAGATTTGATGCACTATCCTAGGCTCTACTTTAGTTCAGGGATTTAAATAATCAATAAAGTTGTGGCTCAAGTTTGAACCCATCTTCTCTGTCCTGCCTCTTTTTTTTTTTTTTACTGTGCGCAGGAGGGGGGGATGTGTATTCATTGCACTAAATATTTGACCAGATGCCCTGAGTCACATGTAGTATCACTGGACAAAAGTGAATTTTATTCAGTAAAATGGAATATAATTTCATGCATAATAAAAATAGTGTTCACCGAGTATACTGATTTTGTATGCATGCAAGAGCAAGCAAATAATTTGGACGTAAAACAAGTGAACCTCAGTAAAAATAGTTATACATATTAGCACAAATTTTGCTCGTGTTCAAAGTGCTCCATGTACAATGGCTGAAGTCCCCTTTATCATCAGATAACCTAAAGTGCCATTCGTTATTTAAAAAGACTCTGTAGCCTTTATATATCATTCTTAAAGAATAAAACCACATCTATTCCAGTGTAACCCTTGGTCAACAAAGTGTGCTAGTTGAGCTAATAGTAAAATGATAATAAAGATGATAATAGTTAATGCATATTTTAAAATTTTTAAATTCTTTTGAAAATTAAAGGATATTATATACCTGTGGGTGACTCTATATCTAATAATCTGTAAAGACCTAACAAATGAAAATTTGGAAAACATTAAAAGATAGAAGTTGTTCCATAATTTAGAGAGTTTATTAGCATACTAGCCAGAGATAAATAAAGGGGTCTAAGCCTCAGGTAAAATGAAGATAAATTCTGATAAAATATATGCAGGCACAAACAAACTATTTAGACTCAAAACAAGTGCATTTCAGTAATAATAGTAGTAAACGTCAGCATAGATTTTGCAAGTGTTCAAAGTACTTCTTATGCAATGGCTGAAATCCACTTAGTCTTCAGATAATGTAAAATTACACCTTTGCAAACGTACCTGGTGTTGCGCCAAGTTAACAAGAATTGTGCAGGTCATTTGCACAGTCACACAGTTCCTGTTGCAACTCTTGCACAGTCTCATGAATAGTAGTTCTGTAATGCTGCCAGTTTCAGATTCAGTTATTCAGCTTTGCTTTGCACGTGCAGTTACACAACAGGATTTCAGCCATTATATAGCTCTTATCTTACAAGACTGCAAGGAATGTCATTGTTATTGTCACTTATATATTGCAGATGGAAGAAATGCACATCAAAGTGGCTTTTCTGGAGCCAATTAATGAGTATGTGGTAGACATGAGAGTCAAACCAAGGACTTCCTGATAATTCAGTCTCTTAGCCACTATACTACACCAGTTCTTCTATATTGTAATTGTCTTTTCAAAATGCAGACTTAAAAGTATGCATACGCCTTTGCATAATCATATGGAAGGGGAGGACATGTATTTGTGGAGAAGCTGCAAATGTAATTGCTAACTTGTGTTCATTTTTTTCACCTTGACAATCTCCATTTCCACTTTCTGTTGAAACAAAATACATTTGAGTGGATCTGACTTTCCTCTGAGCACTGTTGCTGATCCTAGTTTTTTTATGTTTTGTTTTGTTTCTCTCTTTTTTCCTCTCTTTTTTTCATAGTCACGACCCATTCCATCACATCTTACTTCAGCAGTAGCAGAGAGTATCCTGGCTTCGGCATGTGAAAGTGAAAGCAGAAACGCTGCAAAGCGGATGCGGCTGGATCGTCAGCAGGTACAGTGATGGGCGCAGGAAATGTAGTACAGTACACATCTTCAAAGCTAAGTGAACTGAGCAAGACATATAGATTTTGTAAAACTTGGTGAGAGATAATTCTCTGTATATTCTCTTAAGTAACACAGCTAAGGGTGACCACCAAATGTCACTAAAAGCAAAATAAACTTAATGTAAAACAATCTAAATAATAGATAAACATTGAGACTGTTAAAAGGGTTATTAAATATAATCCATCATAGCAATATAAAATGGTCTATAATGAAGAATATAAATGAGTTATAAGATCTTTAGATACAACTGAGTCATATGACACAATGTATTGAAATGTTCTTGTCACTAAGTAATGTAGTGAAATGGGAGACAATTTTATTAATTGTTATTTTTATTAATATTTTATATAAATAAAAAGACAATTGTCTAAAAAAATTAAATGGATTCAAAACCCTTCATGTCTGAAAATAGCACTTAAAAGGAAGTATCCACTTTCCCGTCTACTTTCCATTGCAATCAATTAACTAAACACATTCTAATGATTCTGTCTACGGAATCAAGATACAACATCACACATTGATTATAAATGTATTTGTGGATGACTAATGGTATCAGATTGAAAGTTTGAGACCCATGAAATCATGAACTTCATAGAAAAAATGGAAAATCCTCAGTAGCACTTATGAACTACAGCAAATCCTAACTTGTCTATGTCAAAAGTAGAACCAGAGATTACAGGAACAGAAAGCCAGTATGTTAGAGACTAGTAATCACATCAAATTCCTAGGGGTTTGCTTGCCATAGTCTGTATGAAATGTCATCAGACTAAGTTTAAATTTTGTAGAACGGGTGGAAGCAAAAACAATAGAATTGTCAAAACTGTAAATGCCCTGGTTAGGACCAAACAGCTGCAATAAAAATGATGTTACTGTGAAAGTGTATGTTCCTATTCCAAGTATTACCTATAGCAAAATCAGATGATATCTACAGAAAATGACAAAAACTGTTCACAAACAAAAACAACTCCTTCCCTGAAACTTAGTTTTGAAAATTTATATAGATATCAGTACAACGGTAGTATGGGGATTCTACATCTCAAACAGTGCTGTGAAGGACTTCAGTTCAAACAACTATTACAAGTTGCTTGCAACCATAAGGATGCAGAGTGGATTAATTTAGAAATACATGAGACATAGAAACATAAAATAAAATCAATCGTATTTGAACCAAGTGAGTAAGTGAAGCAAATTAAAACCCTTCATTCTAAACACAGTTTTTATGAAACAGAAATCTTAATACAAAAAGCACCTTCCGCTTTGACTCCTATGTAAACCATCCACTATTCATTAACACTGATGAAGGAACAACTCTGCAAATGAAAAACTAAGGTTATTGTGGATTAGAGTTTCTCCATAATAGACAAAAGATGGGAAAAATACCAAGAACAAGGGAGTAGATTAAAGAACAATTGGCAGGAATTACCATTACAACAAAAAATACATTTTTCATCTGATTCTAAATTAAAAACATAAATTTGGAATCCTCTAACTCAACTTGAAGCTATCATTTTGACACCTGTAAACAGTGTGAAAGGCGCAGCAGCTAACAGATACAGTATTCTTATGTCTACAGAAAATGACAAAAACTGTTCACAAACAAAAACAACTCCTTCCCTGAAACTTAGTTTTGAAAATTTATATAGATATCAGTACAACGGTAGTATGGGGATTCTACATCTCAAACAGTGCTGTGAAGGACTTCAGTTCAAACAACTATTACAAGTTGCTTGCAACCATAAGGATGCAGAGTGGATTAATTTAGAAATACATGAGACATAGAAACATAAAATAAAATCAATCGTATTTGAACCAAGTGAGTAAGTGAAGCAAATTAAAACCCTTCATTCTAAACACAGTTTTTATGAAACAGAAATCTTAATACAAAAAGCACCTTCCGCTTTGACTCCTATGTAAACCATCCACTATTCATTAACACTGATGAAGGAACAACTCTGCAAATGAAAAACTAAGGTTATTGTGGATTAGAGTTTCTCCATAATAGACAAAAGATGGGAAAAATACCAAGAACAAGGGAGTAGATTAAAGAACAATTGGCAGGAATTACCATTACAACAAAAAATACATTTTTCATCTGATTCTAAATTCAAAACATAAATTTGGAATCCTCTAACTCAACTTGAAGCTATCATTTTTGACACCTGTAAACAGTGTGAAAGGCGCAGCAGCTAACAGATACAGTATTCTTATGCATATTCAATACAATAAAGCTGAAGGGCTTAAAGAAATAATAGAGAAGACCTACAGATAATGATACTTTCAACGTAACAGGGCAAAATATCAAGTACAGCCTCGTTATCATCAATTTCAGTTGAAGCTAGAGAGAATGTCAATTACAAGGAAGGAAGGAGTGTCCCTGGAGGACTGTATATGGCCTTTGCACCAGACTTTACCCATTCCTGTACTAAATCCTGGTGCTATTCAATGAAGCTAGAGGGTTTGGCCAGACACTCCTTCCCCCCCACCACCACAAAAATATGCTTTTTCACACAGTACATGCACATATTGGAGATTTTGCTGTATATAATATAATGATGCCTGCAAACCAAGATTACTTTTAAAGGGTTTTAGACAAATTGATAAAGGTTAGTAGCTAAACATTATGTTTGCTATATCCACTCTCTAGTGTTTTGGGCAATACGTTTCTGTACACCAGTTGCTAGAGAGCACAAATGGAAGAGTGTTATTTCAAACACTTCCTTTTAGGCATGATCAGCCTCTGGGCAACAGAATGCTGGTCAAAATAAGCTCTTGGCTTGATCTAGCCGTACTCTTCTTATATTCTTAAAGTTAAACAAGTAATATTGTTTAGGTAAATACTTCATTTATTCAATTAAGGTGTGCATTAATGCTTAGGCACATTGGCATTAATATGTGTGTGTGTGTGTGTGTGTGTGTGTGTGTGTGTGTGTGTGTGTGTGTGTGAGAGAGAGAGAGAGAGAGAGAGAGATTTATAAAGAAAGAACTATACAACATTAATTTTGACAGCAAATAAATTGAAAATTTTAAAATATTTTGCATACCTTGGTTCAATCATCAATCCAAATGGAGACTGTGTCAAGAAATCAAAGGAGGCTGAGGCTCAGAAGAGCAGCAATAGAGGACTTTAAAAAGATAATCAAGGTTAAGGATATGTCACTGGAGACCAAGATCATTCACACTCTTGCATTCCTTATCCCATGTATGAATGTGAAAGCTGAACACTAAAGAAAGCTATAGGGGAAAAAAATTCCATCCATTTGAAATATAGTGCTGGTCAAGAGGTTTGTGGGTACTCTGGACTGCCAGAAAGATAAAGAAGTGGGTCCTAGCGCAAATCAAGACTGAACTGTCTCTGGAGGCAAAAAGATGAAACTGAGGGTTTTATGCTTTTTGGGTAGGTAAAGGTTCCCCTTGACAAATGTCCAGTCATGTTTGACTCTAGGGCGTGGTGCTCATCCCCATCTCCAAGCCATAGAGCTAGTGTTTGTCCATATACAGTTTCCATGGTCATGTGGCCAGCGTGACTAGACATGGAATGCTGTTACCTTCCCACCGTGGTGGTACCTAATCTACTTGCGTTTGCATGCGTTCAAACTGCTAGGTTGGCAGGAGCTGGGACAAGCAACAGGAGCTCACTCCATCGTGTGTATTCAATCTTATGACTGCTGGTCTTCTGGCCTTGCAGCACAGAGGCTTCTGCAGTTTAACCTGCAATGCTACCACATCCCTTAATAATTATCAGGATTAAAATGCTTTTTGGATACCTCAAGAGAAAGCAAGATTCTCTGGAAAAGACAAAAATGCTGGGGAAGGTTTAAGGGAGCAGGAAAAAAGAAAGACCAAATATAAATGGATTGACCTTATAAGGGAAGTCACAAGAGCTTGAGTTTACAAGAGCTGAGTAGGGCTATCGAGGACAGACCGCCTAGAGTGGTCCTAACATGACCAGATAGGCGGGATATAAATAAAATAAATAATAATAATAAAAAAATAATAATAAGACCATTTTGGAGATTGCTCATTCATAAGGCCATCATAAATCAGAGGCAACTTGATGGCATGTAACAACAGCAACAAAGTAAAGAGTATCTGAATCAAGATGGTTCAAGAACCACAAAAGATGCAGTTAATCACTTAATGGTTAAGTCTTAACCTATACTTATAACAGTGAGTAAGAAACAGAGGTAAAGAAATATTTCAGCAACACATTTCAGCTTCCATTTTCTTCAGTTCCTCTGGTAAAAATATACTGTTTCCCAGGTGGCATAGATCTTAGAGGGCTGGTTATTCAAAAGTGGAACAGTGAAGTTGTGTGTTGTCTTCTAATTTCAGGCCATGAGGTATTAAGATAGCCAGTCTGTATATCCAGAAGTTTTCCCTCTTTTATATTGCATTTGGATTTAACAGAACCTCTAGTCCAATTGAGATGTCAAATAGGCCACGATGATCAGGGTTAAAATGCTTAGGCACACTGGTTATTTCAACTTCTTAGTCAAGATAGTAGATGTATGATTTCTGGATCTTGCAAATAGGTCTACTATATGTATTAAAAACATATGAGTTATTTTGGTTAACTGATCAATGATCATATAGAGCTAATGCATTTTTCATCTGATAGCAGATAATGATCCCTGAACACTTATTGTTAATAGGGTTTAATGAACCAAGTCAAGAGGCATACAGTATTTAGTCCCTGTTTAGAAATTTTAAAAATCCCATCACTACCTTATTCAACTCTATAACCTTATTCAAATTGGGAGGACATTCTTGGCTACTATGATATGCCAAAACACTATTTTCTAATTTGAGTGTTCAAGTTTATTGCTCATAAAATTTAAACTGGGTCATGCCCAGAAGAATTAAAGTTAATGGAAAACACTGCATTATACCATGGTGGTGCTTTTACTGGCTTATATGTGGTGGGGAAAGTCCAATGAGACTGAGAACTCTAAGCATAATGCCCGCAATCCATTCTAGCCATGCACAACTTACAATATTCACAATTCACTAAAAGGATTTGGGTATTCAATGAAGCCACTGAAATTTCTACAACAAAATTCAGAATGACTAGAAGCACATTACCAAGCTTTTAAGTTCAGGTTTACTGAATCTTAAGCAAATGACTAATATTAAATTATTACATATAGTTAATACAGCATTAACATTTGAAACCAAAGCTGAATGTTAAATAATAAAATAATTCATAACAGTCTGTGTGTGTGTGTGTGTGTCTCCCATATATGTAGTGCCTTTTTGCTTAAGGTGAGTTGATAAAAAGGTCCACTATTAAGCCATGAAGTTCTGTTGTTTTTAAAATTACATTTGTTCAGAATATAACCTGAACCTTGAACCTTTGCAACTTACTTGATTATATGAGTATAAATATGCAAAGTCTGACCCAATCAAATAAACAGTCAAAGTTAAAAAGTACAGAAAAGTGACTTCAAGATATATTTAGTAATTACCATAATAAAAGTTATGAAAATAAGCTAATCACAAAATTAAAAACTCAACAATTTAGCAATAAAGCAAGGATTCTTCAAAATGAGTTCCCCAACTGTTTGTGGCAATTGCTTCCTGAGCTTTCAGTGTACACAATGAATGGATCTGAACTGAATCCATTCATTGTGTACACTGCAAGTTCATTGCGTACAACACAATGAACTGAATCTCATAAAATGTAACAGTCTTACTTGTCCTATGGCTCATTACATTTGCTGAAACAAGTTTGCAAGATGGTTGTGTCTCAGATTTTTGTATACTATCCATTGGTCAATAAGAAATAACCTGCCTTCCACTGCTCTGCCACCTCCAGTCTAGGCGGAGGTATATAACAAAACAAAAAAAAATCCTGGTGCAGAATGCCAACATTTCATTTGATATATAGGCTCAGCAGGGCTAGCTCAAAAGTCAAAATAATGGGCAGCCAAGTAATGCTCCTTCTTTCCAGTTGGATTAGCAGACAAAACATTATCAGCACTGGGCACAGCCACCTTACATTCTCAGCACTGGACACAACCATAATTTTCGATCATCTTATAACTGCAGACTGGGAGGAACCCTATGGGGAATCAAACTCCCAGCATTTCATGTGGTGGTAGAATCCAAGGTGTCCCCAGTTTGTCCAATGGTCAATTGAACAGGATTCCAATACATGTTCTAGTTTCACAGGGCTAAACACAAATTATATTAATGCTGGAAGTCATGGGACAAGATGAGGAAGACTTTAATTATTAAAAATCAACACCATTGTTAATGTCATCCTGGATTATTTTCAGTAATTAAAGACTTCCCCCTCTCATCCCATGGCTTCCACCAGTTCCTGACAACGAAAGGGATTACACTACAGCCTCAGGAGCTTTGGAAAATAAGTTAGAAACATTTAATTTCGGAAAAATTGCCACTGCTGTTAACGAAATTTCCAAAGCATAAACCATGGCAACAGGATTTTAGCAAATAATTATTTAGGGTAGGGTTTACTTTGAGACCAGGCTGATCTTTCAATTCCTTTCAGTTCAACCCCAGGACATTGCCAAGAAGACCGATTATTTGTTTGTTTGTTTTTATGTTTGTTTATCCATCCCACCATTCTCCTTGAAGAGGATCCAAGGTGGCTTACAACAATGAAAGACAAATACATTTTATTTTCATTCAAGCTGCTTGTCATTAAACCTTATAAAGTCTGACTATGGAAGTTATCATTGGAAGAACTGCACATCACTGAATTCTTTTTGACATTTTTAAAATGTAATTTTAGTGTCTCAAAAATACAGTAAAACTATGGCACCAGATTGTCACTTGCTTCCAGACAGATTTTAGAAATTATGAATGACTTCAAGTTACATAAATTGTTACATTTCTTTCTACATTCAAGGCATAGTTATGGTTAAAAAGTCATTTTAGGGCATTAATGTGCCAGTATTTCTGTATAACTTTACCCATTCACATTCACTCAAGGTATCTGATTTACATCCTCCCACCTTTGTATCCCCTGACCAGGCTGAGATGGCACTACATGACTAATGTCATTCTATGGCCTTCTCTGCCATTAGAGTCAGATTAGATCAGTCATAGGAGGCACCTATTCTCTGTTTAATAGGTAAGACTGATTTGGTGGCGAATGGGATCGTAGATACTGCAGAATTGTATCTTAAAGCAAGGTAGTAGACTGAATCATTTTCAGATTCTTTCAGACTTATTATCCTATAGTGAATTTTCTTCCATTATTTTCTGCCATTTCCTATCATCTTTGGCCCTGTCCTTTCTGGAGAACCTGCCATTTTATATTATTTAGAACATCTCAGTTGATTCTGGTAGCAAGAAATTAAGTTCAGAGGCTAGCATAATCTCTCTCTTTCTCTCTCTCTCTCTCTGTTTTATCTGTATCTACCACTGAGGTTTTGATCACACAAAGAATTCTTTAGGGAAAAGGAGATGGGATTAGATAGGCTCGATAAAAGTAGTAGTTATAGCGTAACAATGTCTGTAATATCTCTTGCCTACTCTTCATTGTTGGCATTCTCATGCTTCCTTTCTGGCTGATAGTGTTGATTAAAAACTTGCATGTGCATTTTTTCAAGCTGTTTTGAAAATGGTGCAAGAAAAAGTCCATTAAAAAGCAATAAATCTGAATATGCAGTTGACTGAATAACAATATATTTGAACAGAAAAATGCAGTGGTGATTTGACCTTGTCCGCTGAATGATTGATCTTGCAGGATGAGACTACTGCAGCTGACAAACCATATAAACAGGAACCAACACAGGTCACTTACTCAACATCAGCTGTTTCCAGCACACAGGAGGTACTGTACATAAATGGAAATGGGACCTACAGTTACCACAGTTACAGAGGGTTAGGAGGAGGTTTGCTAAATCTCAGCGATGCTTCTACTAGTGGTGAGTATTTTTACAGAACTTTGCATGCATATTTACAAGCACATATCCCTACTTTATTCTGCAATATGTAAAATTTTCAAAAAATTACAGAAGAAAAATGAGCCAACGTACAGTATTTAGTATCTTTGGTGTTAAATTAAGTGCTTCTGTGCTAAGACAGTACACAGAGACATACTGCTACTACTGCTACTGCTACTGCTGCTGCTGCTGCTACTACTACTACTACTACTACTACTACTACTACTACTACTACTACTACTACTACTACTACTACTACTACTACTACTACTACTACTACTACTACTACTACTACTACTACTACTACTACTACTACTACTACTACTACTACTACTACTACTAATAATAATAATAATACTGTAATAACAACAACAACAACAACCCATTCAGCATATTATTAAATAACAGCCCTCTCTGCAATAAAATAATGTAACTATCACTATATGATATAGAATGCAAAGTACTGGATTAAACATTGTAAAATACATTGGATCTGCAAGGGAGACATGTGAGATAAAAATAAAATAAAATGAACTGTTTTAATTTGCTTTTGAAAAACATACATAAAAGAAATAATTGTTTACTCGGATCCAAATGAAAAGGAACTTGTGTTCCTTCTAGAACGGGACTGGGAAATTTCCTGTGTCTAAGTAAAAAGAATTTTAATTGAAGGATATTTCAGAGGCAGAGATTACTGGTCTTTCAGTTTACTTAATCCATTGCTCACTGGTGAAATAGGTACTGCTGCAGGTGCATGGATAATTTTTTAAAATAGTTTTTATAACCCATCTCCTATTTTGTTCACTTCCAATTAGCATATTAGAGAGACAGAATCGGTATGTTTTTAGAACCAAGGTATTTTTAAGACTTTGTGTTCCTCTGTTAATTGGAGTAAATGACAGTGCTTCTCCCATTATCGATGCTATTTGCAGGCTGCTTGCTATGTGTTGTCTGTCCTATGAGATGCCTTTCTCACAAAAATGACTGAGGCCTGCTACTTCATGTGGCAAGCAGACTCACAATGGGATAACATGGTATTACAAAATTGCCAAAGCAAGTGGAAAGGGAGGGAGACTATTCTCTTTTACAGAGATGCAGCGTGCAGTCATGCACATATGTTGTTTAGAAACATACAAAGATTTCTGCAACATTCTACAAAAACCCTCCTCAGGCATTATAACCTGTAACCAAAGAGAGGGTGTTGAGGTATGTGTTCCAGGCCAGACCCCTCCAGTTTCACCTCCCTTTATTGCTGGGGAAGATTGGCAAAAGAGACTGCTCTCAAACTGTGGTATGCACTCCCCTGAGAAGCTTGTTCTTCCACTGATAGGTAAACACCGTCCTTTTCCAGAAGGCATTTAAGCAATAAGTGGAAAGTCTCATGAACACAGTATTCAGTGAATGTATATATATTTTAATGCTTTAAAATGTTTTGAATTTGTTTTAATACTGTTAGATTTTACTTTTTTAATTACTACTCTATATTTGTTATGGTGCTTTTAAAGGTGATTACTGTACAGTGATTGGGGCTACTTGGATACAGGACAAATTTTCTGTGGAGAAATTGAGTCTATGCAGCACTTGTGTGCATGCAATTTAACATGTTAAAAAGAAGATCCAGCAAATGGCAGACATAACACTATACAAGTAGCCTGCCTTTGGTAAAATAATAGTCTAATTAGCATTTTAATTTGTTTTAATTTTACCTGTTTCATATATATATATGAAACAGGTAAAATTAAAACAAATTAAAATGCTAATTAGACTATTATTTTAACAAATATATATATATACACATAATTTTAAATTAGACAATGCTCTGATACAAAGACAGAAAGAAAGCATTGTATAGTTTTAATTGTTATGGGCCCCACTGAATTTCCTGTGGGGAGAAAGGTGGCATATAAAATAAAATAAAGAGATTCTGTTCAGCTGAGCATAGGTATACAATTCCATGTGATAAGAAACCCTGATTACTTAGAGCTTCCAGTCACATGGGGTTCTGAATGTGATTAAGTCTCCTTTTCAGACCTTCCCTTGAAATTTGCAGAGACTGGGAATCTCTTCATACCTGTCTTCTACTTTTGACTGAATCTCAGACAGTATTTTTAACCAAAGAAAATTATTTGGTGGTTGTTGATTTGAAGAGCTGAGAGGAAAATTCTAGCCAAATGCTAGAAATTGAAATCACCTCCAACCCAAAGCTGTTTGCAGCTGGCATTGGACCTCACTTTAAGAAGCAGACCTAACACAATAATTTGCCATGAATTTTTGGGGCTCTCATATATTGTTGGAATATGGATTACCCTTGAAACCGAGCTGTTCGTTCGATTTTTTTTTTTTTGGTACTCTAATAAAGGTATCACCTGCTCTTGCATTTAACCAAAAAATAACCATAAAAGGATTTTGTGATCATCCAGAAGAATATTTTGTATCCCACATCCCCATTTTGAAAGCTGATCCTATGTAATGTCACAAACTGCCTCTGAAGCAGCTTTCAAGTTTCAGAAAATGAATTTTGTTCATCATATCAAGAATTGGTTTTCAAGAAAGACAAATGTGAATGAACTAGGCTTATTAGTCTAGTTTCAGAGTTCTTTAGATTCTAACCACTGTTAATTGTCAGAACAAAAATTATTTCACATCTCATTGCAGATGTCTAGGCAACCTTCCACTTTTCAAAATTATATATTACTGTTATTAATTTTATAGATAATTGTTCATGATCAACTTAAAGGAAAGGTCTGAATTTGCTAAAGGCTCTTTTGTTTTTAAGAGGTGATTGAATATCAAACTGGCTGTCCCATGTTGATAGCGGACGTGGGTTATTGCAGAGATAACTCACATATGGCTTTGCTACTCATGAGCCATCAGTGCTATTATCAGTGAAATAAGCTGCTGCATCATATATCTGGCCGGCATTTTAGAACTAAGTAATTGAGGCTGCCAATGAGTAATTTATGAAGCAATAACTACCTCATGTTAAATCTTGCAAGTCATTTGTCCAGCAGTGTATTTAATGTCAGATTTACTCAGTAGCTAATATGATAAATGAACATCTTGGAGAAGATTCAGATTGCTTGTAGCATTTTGAATGATTTAGTTAAAACAAGAACTGCTTAGCTTCCAAAAATATATGATGTCTGTGCAACTTGAATTAATCCATAAACCATAGCCAGTAACCAGTTACAATATAAATTACTGACTGTGTCGTCCCATTGATGGCTAGAAAAATGATATCCTGTGAGCATAAAAGAAAAGTTTTTCTTTGAAATTTAACACCAGACTTAATTTGCTAATTTATAGAACTTCTATATGCTCAAGAGAAAAAATGCTGAGTAAAAAAAATATGCAACAATCTATGGCAACTAGTGAGTTTTGATGCTGATTCAGGCATGGCTGCAATGTCTGGGCACCTGTGCCAACTGCACCAAACAATTTGACTGTGCACCTCGTCTAAATTTATCAAAGAATAAAGAATAAACTAATTCAGAAAGCAAAAGAGACCAAGTCTATGGTCATGATTGTCTGAGTTAAATGATCTGAAGACTAATAACAACACATGCAGTCAGAAAGTTGGCAAGTTAAGTTCTGTGAGTGCAAGTTAAGCCAAATGTTCAAGTTTTTTATTTTTATATCAAAATTTCACGGAGCATGTTAAAATTATTTTACTCAAAAATCTATACAAAAGTTTAAAGTGCTTTGGTACTGTTCTCAAATCACCATTGTAGCACCCTGAGAACACTGATCTCATCTGATGTAGGAAGCTAAGTTGGACATGGTTGCTATTTAGATGGGAGACTATGAGGAAATACCAGGAAAGTGCAGGTAGGCTAGGAAACTGTCCAGCAAAGTATGCAATATTGAAACAATCACTGACTTAAAAGTCACATTCTGTTCTCTTTTTATGTCCATGCATTTAGTTCCTTCTTAAGCAGTGTTCAACAGCTATAAGAAAGATATCCTAATGTTTCATTTGTGTCCATTTGTCTTTCCAGGTCCAACTGATCTCAGTATGAAGAGGCAGTTAGCAACCACTTCTGGATCTTCCAGCAGTACTAGCTCTAGACCTCAACTGAGTCCAACCGAAATTAATGCAGTACGGCAGTTGGTTGCAGGGTATCGAGAATCAGCTGCATTTTTATTGCGTTCTGCAGATGAACTGGAAAATCTTATTTTGCAGCAGAACTGAGATATGTGACCATCTTGCTGACCATGTTTTGTTACAGAATTTCCACTAATGACATTGTGATTTCCAGAGCAGATCTTTCAGTTACTGCACAGTCTTGTTGACGAGTTTATTACCATAATGCCACACTGTTCTTGGGTATTCTTGATGTGTTAGGGTTCTTCAAGTGAACTTGAACCTCTGAAATGTTAGAGGTGCTTTAATATATCAGCCTATTGCTCAATGTTCGTTTGTTCTAGTGTGTCAGCATCAATAGCAAAAAGTGGCTAGAAATATTAATTCGTTCTAACATGGACAGGAACAGAAGATAGCTGGGGATTTGAAATTGGTCCAGAATCCAAGTGCAATATTAGTGGAATGTGCTATCAACTCAGTGGACTCCAAGCTGCATTATATGGCAAAGTGTTGCCATGCCCTGCTGTTAACAGGATGCAATTGCAATGAAAAGGATCTTGTATTTTAAAGAAAATGTAATTTTATAGGGAAAAAAACCAAGACAAAAATGTTATTTCTCATTCTAAATTGATCATTTTTACTTTGATAAATTTTTCACTGATTTTTCAAATGATGTCTTGAGGAGTTCTTGTTAAGTCCGCTATTCTGAAACCTTTATCCTCTTCTCCAGTCCATACCAGTTTATACAACAAGTACATTTTCATGCTGGGCAGCCCATTTCCTGATGGATCTCTATACAAATATCTCTGGAATGACTTTCAATGGAAGCAGACATTTCCTGAGCTTGAACCATTTCCATTTCCATTTCATGAGTTGCAGCTTTATTAGCACTTAATAAAGATGTAAGGATTATTTTTAAGGGACATATCATTAATTTTTTAAAATTGTGGTTTCCTACAAACTAGCTCATTTAATTCCAGGATCGCTGCTGCTGTCTTGTACAAGTCCTTTTAGTAGTGAATGGATGTAGATGATTGAATGTGAAGAGGTTGCAAGTGACAATCGGAAAATTTGCACTCTTGTGTGTATTTATTTCTTCTATTTCTTTTTAAATTAATACATAACTGAAAAGGGCCATTGACACTTCTGATGTGATTTTATAATGCTAACACTGAACTGAATACTGTACAAAAATTGTAAAAGATTCAGCTGCCACTTAAACAAAGTTCCCTTCTCCTGACTCTCCCAATCCTCATTTATTTTATGATGTCAAATACACATCAGTGGTGTTTTTGTTGTGCGCTAAGGAAAATTTATTTTTATGTATTTAGAAAGAAGTATTTTAGTTTATGCTTACTGTAATATCTGTTCTGTTGTTTTGCTTTTGTTAAAAAACAGGTTCCTTGTGCATTCCTGAATTTGCCTTATTTTGTGTACAATTTTTATGTAATTTGGTTTTTGACAATGAGTTTAAAGCATTGGTGATATTTTCTATCTACTTGTTACATATAGTTTTTCAAGTAATGACTGTGATTGTGACAAAGTAATGTGCACTTTTTCTTGTAACTGTGGACATTGCTATGCTTTTTTCTCTTTAGTGTTTCTAGAATTACTGTTGCTTACAGTTATGTTTTAAAAAATGACAACTTTTGTGATACTGTTGGTGAATATCAATGTGAAAAAAAATTATTGAGATTAGTGTTTTGGAGATACCTAAATACACAAACTTTTCTTTTGAGTTGTGAACTCAGATGTTCGCATATTTAAATGAAATTTTTAAAAGGAGGGCTGGGAAAAATCCTGTTTTCTTTGAGTAAATAAAAACGCATCTGTGTTTCATTATAGACCTGTGAAATAATATTTTAGCAATTCAACGGTAATTTTTTTCCTGAACATTGTCTCGTCTTTATGGGTTTTTTAAAACCCAATTTATAGGAAGAGCTGCAAGTAATGGGCTAAATCCAGTATTAGGCCAAAGTGGAGTAGACCAATTGAAATAATGGGACTTATGTAGATACTGTCCACCAAGCCACAATCAGTTTAGTGGATCTTATTTAGTTGGGATTAACAATGAATTTAACTGAATTTCTTAAAAAAATAGCCATCCAGATAAGTTAACCTGACTTGACTGTATTAAATAGAGGCATAAAGTACAGAGATTTACAGGCAGCATTATCTAGATTTTAGTCAGATCAAAGCCTTATTCAGTCATTTCATAATTCAGTTTTTGAAACTTGCCTAAGGACTCTTCCTATCTAGCCTCTTCTCCTCTCTCATCATGAAACTTGGTCAGGTATTCATCTTAGTAAAAACTAGTTTAGGAAACAGAATTTTTACATAAGTAAAAGTTGGTTGGGAAGAAAAGGAACATAAAGATGGTCGAACATGATATATTTTGACAAGTCAGCACATTGAATCACACTGTGTCAACAGTAGGCACAACCCTACTGTTTCTGCATGCTGGGAACAGGGTGTTGAAAATGCTTTCCTGTCCATTATAATTTCTGCCCCCACTTGACCTGCAATAGATGTGCCTTTGCTGTGTTGGGTTTGTTACTTACATTGCCTTTCATGAGAAATCAGAAACTGTGCCTGGTTTACAAGCATCTAGCAACACTTTGCACAATAAACACTTGTAGTAGGAGTGATATGAAATGCAAAGCCATGGGGAGGACCTGGTCAGAGAATTCATGCTACTAGGCAAGGGAAGGCCACTTGCCATTTTTCACCCATTGGAGCCCATATTGCAAAGCAGGAAAAGCTAGTATCAGAAGGGCTGAGTATGGGTTGAGGGTGTGATAGTACGGTCTCATGCAGAGCTGCTCCACAGCCAGCTTTCTGCAGAGAAAAGTGTTCAAGATAAATGTTAATTGATAGCAATACTGCATATGTCTCAGAAATTGTAATCATTCTATATATCTCGCTATCTAACAATGTCTTACTAAGACCTATCTAATGCAGAGAGTTAATTTAAGCAAACTTAACAAAAGACATACAGTGGTGCCTCGCATAACGTTTGCTTCGTTTAACGTTTTTTTCGCTTAACGTTTATTTTTTCAGAGTCAGATTGTGCTTCGTATAACGTTTTTCCCTATGGGCGATTTTCGCATAGCGTTTTTGGGACCATGCTTCGCTTAACGTTTTTTGTTTTAGGTCCCCTGCTTCACTTAACGATGTTTTTTTTTTCAATTAAAAAAGTGTCTTAGAAGGGTCAAAAACGGTTCTAAATGCTTGGATTCGTTAGAGGACCCCTTAAGACATGTGCAAATCTTACTGAGACCTATCTAATGCAGAGAGTTAATTTAAGCAAACTTAACAAAAGACATATTTCATTTGATGGCTGAGCCACAAAAAACATACCCAAATTTGTTAACTGTGAAATTATCTTTGCAGTCCTAGTAGCACATATTTGTGTAAGAAGTCAGAAGGAAGTTTATGCAGTGCATGAACAAAGCTTGAGTACAAGCCACTCCTCATAGAAGCTGTTAAGGCATAAAAGGGCTCTCTTGTTTTCCAGAATTTTCTTTCGCATTTACTAATTATTATTACTGCCAGAAGTCCTCTGTGTGTATAGCCAAACATGTATACACACTGAAGCCTTACTAAGATAGCATATTTATTCAGAGTGAGAGAAGAAAAGGAAACTAGGCCCACCCCATCTGCAGTTGCTTTGCTCAAATGAAAGCAACAGGTCTGAAGAGGAAGATACCTGGTCAGAAAAGCTCTCCACACGAGCCAGAACATAGGAAAATCAATGTTTGGTCAAGTGGAGAGCCTCCATGAATAGCCAAGCTTCCTCTCTTCAGACTTTTCACTTTCATGTGTTATCAAAGTGGAAAACAGAGAGCAGATTTAGCACTTGCACCCCCTCACATGTTCAGCATATTGTAATGATTACTGAATAGGACTACAATCTCTCTTTTCTTCAGCGCACTGACCTGCAAGTTATTTTGCCTACACTATATGTGTATGTGACCACAATTCTATTGGAAAAGCAGAGGGAAAAAACAACCAACTGAATCATGCTCAGTGCTCAGGGAATATATCCCCTCATATATGTCCAATTGTTCCTTCCATTGTTATTCAAACCAAATTATTTTATGGTTGTTGTGGGTTTTTCGGGCTTTGAAGATGCCCGCCACAGAGACTGGTGAAACGTTAGGAAAAACAACCTTCAGAACATGGCCAAAGAGCCTGAAAAACCCACAACAACCATTAGATCCCAGCCGGGAAAGCCTTCGCAAATAAATTATTTTATCTTTAGATCATAAGATAAATAAGGTACACATAAAACCTCGGGGAAAATATGTTGGGGGCCATAAAGTAGTACTATGCATTACATAAAACAGTACCAAAACTAATCAAGTTCTCTGTAGGATTGCCAACTGCTTTTAAACAGGGCTCTTGTTATGTTATGTATGTAACATGAAATTCAACAGGCATTTGACAGTTGATTAGACATCGGAGCTACATATTCATCTCCAGGGGGAGACGAACATGAAGCCCACCAGTTCAAGTGTCCAGGTGGTTCCTTCCCACCCACTCCCAGAACTAGCCCGGCCTACTCACTAGATTCCTTGGCATGCCTGCCCACAGCGGTGGTAACATCATGCCAATCACAGACTTAGTCCTACTGGCACTTCCCTGCCTCTCCCCTCAGCCAAGCACTCAGCAGCTGAGCGGGGAGAGTTGTCTTCCTGCCTCCTCACTGGAGTGGTCTACTGTGGGGAGAGGTGGGACAGCACCAGTGGAACTATGTCCACAATTGATGTGATGTTGCTGGGCTCGTGCACTCCGAGGAGCCTGGTGAGTAGTGTTGTCTGGTTCTATTGGGCAGGAAGGGACCACCACGACATCTGTGCTGGTCAGCTTTGTATTCACCTCT